TGTGTATCTGATTTATTTCTCTTAAGAGTACGGTCTCAGGGTGCATCCATTTAGCTAGAATTGTCTCATACTTATCCTTTTTATGGCTGAGTAGTACTCCATTATATAAAAAACCCCACATCTTCTTTATCCATTAGTTGATGGGCATTTGGCTGTTTCCAAGATGTAGCTATTACAAACTGTGCCACTATAAACATGGATGTGCATATATTGCAGTGGTATGATGCTTTTACTTCTTTCAGGAAGATACCAAGAAGAGGTATAGCTGGTTTGAATGAATGGAACCTTTAGTTTTAGTTTTTTGTTTTTTGGGGGTTTTTTTGGTACTGGGGATCGAACTCGGGTCCTTGCACTTGTGAGGCAGGTGGCGGAACCACTGAGCTAAATCCCTGGCCCCAGTTTTAGTTTTTTGAGAAATCTCCATACTGATTTCCACAGTGGTTGCACTAGTCTACACTCCCACCACCCGTGGAGATGGGATCCTTTTTCCCCATGGCCCACCAGCATTTGTTATTGGTTGATTTCTTGTGGGTTGGTTTTTTTTTGGTACCGGGTATCGAACTTGGGACCTTGAGCTTTCAAGGCAGGCGCCGGAACCACTGAGCTAAATCCCCGGCCCTACTGGTTGATTTCTTGATAGCATCCATTCTTTGCTTTGGCTATTCTGACTCTTTTGTTTTTCATAAGAATTTTAGAATTGTTTTTTCTAGTTCATTGAAGAATGTCACTGGTATTTTGATGGGGATTACATTGAATCTTTAGATCACTTTTAGTAATATGACTATTTTGCCAATCCATGAGCACAGAGGTTTTTCCATCTCCTGGTGTCTTCAGTTTTGTTCTTCAGTGTTCTAAAAATTTCATGTAGAAATCTTTTGTCTCTTTGGTTAGATGGGTCCCTAGGTAAATTTTCTTTTTTAAAGCTATTGTGAGTGGAATTGTTTTCCTGATTTCTTTCTTAGCTAGTCCATAATTGGTGTATAATAAAGCTAATTTTTTAATGCTGATTTTTATATCCTGATACATTACTGAGACTAAAAGTCTTTTGGTGGAGTCTTTAGGGTCCTCTAGATATAAGTTCATATCACCTACAATTATAATTTGACTTTTCCAGGCCGGGGATTTAGCTCAGTGGTTCCGCAGCCTGCCTTGCAAGTGCAAGGACCCAAGTTTGATCCCTGGTACCAAAAAAAAAAAAAATTTGACTTTTCCTTTCTTATTTGTATCCCCCCTTTTTTGTTGTTGTTGCCTAATTGATCTAGCTAAAATTTCAAGAAGTGTATAAGAATATTGAATGAAAGCGGTGAAAAGGGATATGCTTGCCTACTTCCTGAGAAAAATATTTGATCATAGCTTGACTTTAGTCATGTTAATCTCTAATTCTCTTTATACTTACAATTTATACAATATAATTTTTTTCTCCTTTCTTCCATGTCAGATTTGAACCCAGGTCTTTCACATATTGAGTTATGTCCCCAGCCTATTTTTAATTTTTTATTTTCAGACAAGGTCTTCAGAGTCTTGCTAAGTTGCCCAGGCTGGGCTTGAATTTGACAGTCTTCCTGCCTCAGCCTCCCAGAGTGCTGGGATTACAAGTCTGTGCTATCAGACCCAGTTTAAGCTATATAATGTAGGGGTTTTATTCTGTTTTTTTTCAGTGCTGGTGATCAAACCCAAGGTCTCGTGTGGTGACAGCACTCTACCACTGAGTTACAACCCACCCAGCTATAAATGTTGTGTATTATCTTATTTATTGGTTGTGATAGCTGCCACGTAGACTTTAAGTTTCTTTGTGTTTGGCACTAGATCTTCCATCTTTTTATGTGAGGGAAGTCTCATCATTGAATATTTGTGAGAAAGGAACTTAAGTATCATTAAACTTACATCTTATGGCCCCTAGTAAGTGCATAATTTAAATGAGCCACTAACAAATTTATTGACTTTAACTGAATAATGAAAGAAATGAAGGAGAGTGAAAAATTTAGAAGGGAGATAATAGAATACTCTCTTTTTAGGCAGGGCATAGTGGTGCATGCCTGTAATCCCAGCACTTGGGAGGCTGAGGCAGGAGGATTACTGTGAGTTTGAGGCCAGCCTGGGCTACATAGTGAGTTTAAGGTCAGTCTGAACTACACAGTTAGACCCTGCCTCAAAAAACAAAAAAAACTTTTTAGGTCAAAGAACTGTGGAGAATAGATCCACTTGGCAATAAAGTAAGCGAATAGAGAACTATATTAATATACTTCTCTAGTTCCTAAAGTAAGGGCAGAAGAATGGAAAGAACATTGTACTGAAGTCAGAAGCCTCTGTTCCAGATCTAGCTATCTTAACATAACTGTATTTTAGATAAGTTATTTAATCTAATCTTCAGCTTTTCTAGGATCAGGAGAATAATTGCTTCTTTACATGATTTTTGTAAACATTAGATATGTATTTAGTACTTAACAGTACCTGGCATGTCATGATCACCTCTGGTAATTTTTTTTTTTTTTGTGGTACCAGGGAATGAACTCAGGACCTTGTGCTTGTGAGGCAGGCACAGTGCCGCTGAGCTAAATCCCCAGCCCTCTGGTAACTTTTTTTTTAACCATGAACACAAGTACTGTTGTTATGTGATCTTAGGAGACTCCTTTTTGCTTTAATTAATCTTTATCTATAAACTGCAAAAGTTAGGTGTTACCCAAGATTCCTCTCAATTCTGAAATGTCATGTTTCTGCACTGATCACCTCAGAACACTGGCAAGAAGGTTATTTATGAGTTCATAGGCTACACTGAGTTCAAAGGAGAGACCATGGGAAGTTGTTCTCTGATGTGTAGATCAATGTCACTCTGTAAGTCAGATATTTGTTTGTATGTTTGTTTTTAATTTTCTCTACTAGTTTATTTTATTTTATATTGGTATCGGGGATCTAACTC